CCCCCACCCCCACCCCGTCCGCCCGCCCGCAGTGCTCCGTTCTGCCTGCCTGCCTGCCTTCGTTAATGGTTGAATCGGAACAGCTTCGGCTGAGTAAAAGAGGCGAATAGTTATTATTCTCAGCCGAAGCTGCTCCCAAACAACCAGAAACTAAGGCAGGCAGGCAGGCAGGCAGAATGGGACAGTGGATTGAAGCGCGCGCGTGGGGTGGGAGTGGGGGTGAAATTTCCCTCTTAAAATGAAGATGCGTGCTATACGCCTGTGCGTGTTATACGCCGATAAATACGGTAAATGGCAATACCCGCTTTAAATCTGAACTTGGACTGCCCCTCTTCCATACAACTTTCCCCTTCCTTTCTGGTCTTTCAATGGCTTCAGTCATTGCACAGAAAAGTAATGGGTGCAAACTACAAATCAAAATGGCTAATAAAGCAAATGCATTGTTATTCACAGTGGTGTGGCTACATGTATGCATTTTATGCATATTCAATCTGGCATTTATGCATCTCAAGGGAAGGGGAAAAAAAGCACTTGCTTTCAATGAGTCTACAAAACAGCGGAACCACAGTTCATAATCTGAAAGATATGTAGGAAATGAATCTGAATTTACAACAGTTGGGTTTCATTTGTGATAGCCATCCATTTATGGACACTTTTGACTCCAAACCAGGAGACAGATCAATAAGAGGAAGTAAAAAATAAAATACTCCAGAAATATCTGGATTGGTTTTATTTTTTTTAAATGTTGCTGGTCCTTAAGAAATCGTTTGCTGCAGTGGTTGTTTAATATAAAAAAGTCCATCTCTTGTCCACCCATTTAATATCTAATCATTATTACTCTTATTAACCATCAGGCATAGACACTTGTGGAATTTGCAACTATAAACCTTAATGGTGTGGTGCAATATAGACTGAAGGGCAGAAAAAAAACTATATCCTGTAACCTTGGCATCCAGTCTTGAGAATCAGAAAGGAGAGATTATGCAGGTCAGCCAGAAGAAGTCACAGAGCAACTGTTCACTGACACTTTTTGGGTTCTGTTGGTAAAGGAGGCATGGTGGTTACTGCTGGGACTGCCACAGGTTCCATTCATAGTGCTAGAGATGTGGGGGAACTGGGGGTGGGGAGACTGCACAGGAGTGCTGGGATTGAGTACACAGGAGGAAGTGGAAAGAGTGCCTCCTTCAGGGCTGCTGGCTTTTTCACTGCCAGAGTCACTTTCCAGATCCCCAGTATTGTGCAAGCTATCATGCTGCTGGCCACCAATCTTCATTCTCTTGCAAGTCGATCCCACACGGTACTTTAAAGGGAGGGGGCCATTCTGCCAAAGAAAGCCGAAAGGGAAACCCTCATCAGAAGGTTTATTTTTGTTTCCCACCCCTCTGGCCCAACTTGTCCAAAACATAAAAGGCCTCTTGATGTATTTACCCTTCTCCAAGTGTAAATGTATGCTATGTCCATTAGCGTGTAGTAGTCCTTCAAAGGCTCTTCTTCATACATGACATCAACCTAATAAAAGAGATTAAACTTCATTTAACATGGCATGGAAGTGGGAAAGACTACACAACTGCAGTGTGGTATCTACTATACTACTCTAATCCAAACATCACATATTTTAGCTGAAATTCAAAAATATGTTGAATCAGTTGAGAAGACTTGCTTTTACATCCAAGAGCTTACAATATGGTTGGAGAGACATTTTGAAATCCAGTCTTTCACCTAAAGATGCTGCAGCTTAACTCCAGAAGCAAAAGCAATTAACAAGGGCAATTCAATTGAGCAATCTTTAACATGAAAAAGACTTCAAACATTTTGCCCTGTCTAAAACAAGCATTTATTACAGTTTTCAGGGATAGGGCAAGAGAAAATCGCACAGCCCATGAAAAATAGATATTTGATTTCCCCTTTTCTTATGATATTTTCCCTTAATAATTAATTAGAATCCACATTTTTCCACTTAGAGAGCAGACTTTAGTATTAAGTTGCAGAAAACACTATGACCAATTCTTTTCAAAAGAATTGAAGTTTAAATAATGCCTTTCGCTAACTCTTTTGTGTGTGTTCTTCCCTATCCATGTCCATAGGTCAGAAGTACCTGAAAAGCATTTGGTATGTCCATTTTGCTCCGGAGAAACTTTCTCAAGTGCATTACAGTCATTGCTGCAGGACAGCGTAAATATCTTTTATCTTTGGCCTGGGAGGGGCATTTGGTTGAGACAATAATAGACACCATTCAAAATCTGATACTAAAGTTCATTTTAATACAGTTAGATAGAAATACATGGAACTGTGGTTAAAACTAGCTGGTGATCCAAAATCAATGAGGTAAGATGCAAAGTACATGCTTATTAGTTATTTTAGGATTTAATTAACTCACACCTTTATTCTTAAAAATTAAGTATACTAATGGGAAAAATAGGAAGTTCCCCCAATACAAAAATAACACCGCTTATTTTTATCAACCTTTTAAAGGTCCTTTAATTTTAATTACTAAGGCATATTTATTGTCTACAGAATAACTACTTCTATACTTAAGGAAATAAAAACAAATAATATATTTTATTTTCTGAATAAGAAATGTAAGTGTCAAGGAAGCAACAATCTACTTATCCCAAAGGTGCTTTTTCAAGAAGCAACTGGACTTTCTGGTTTTTCTTTGAAGACGTTTCACTTCTCATCCAAAAAGCTTCCTCAGCTTCTTGCATGAGAAGCAAAATGTCTTCAAAACCCCCCCAAAAAGTCCAGTTGCCTCTTGAAAAAGCACCTTTGGGACAACTATGACCTGGATGACTGAGAATCTCCACAGACATTTAACAATCTACTTACCCCTTTTTTGGCTTTCTCTTTCTCATTGCTTCCTTTCTGTTCAACTCTAGAAAAAGGACATATACTATTATAATGTACTATTATAATGAATGAATGAATAAAGATACTACTTTTACAACTTACCTATTTTGGTCAAAGAACTCAATAGACAAACTTATTATCTCATCATCTGTTATAATCCTTTTGTCTTCATCTGCAACTTCTCCTCTGTCTTCATTAGAGCCATTGGCAGCTGCACATAAATTTTCACAGCAAGTTATATTTTAAAATTCAAATCAGAAAGTTAAAAAAAAACTTTAGTTATAAGATGAACATGTTGCCAACTTTATTTGCTTTGCATGATCACTGAAATAGTATATAAAATATTTTACAACCTGAGCTTCTGCAATTAAAAGGCAATTCTCTATAAAATTATAAACTTGGAGGCTTTTTTACCATCAGCAGATGGATGAGCAGCATAAAAATCTCTTCTTCTTTTCATTTCATCTAAAAGAAAGCATATTTTTATTACTCATCTCTTCAAGTTCAACACTTTTTATTACTGCATTGGGTGTTCAATCTAATTGTTTACTTACTTTTGAAAAGACCTGGTACTAACTTGTATACAATGTCCTGGAGAGTTTTATCAGACCTGAAATATAAAATCCAAGACACTCAATTTAAAATGATGTTAATATTGACAACTTTCCAGATCCAAAAGTAGCTTGGTTGAGAATTTTTAACCAAAGCTTTAACCAGTTTTAAATTGTTTTATATAATTTTTAGATCTATGCTATTAAGGTATCTGTATTTTTGTTTTGCTTTGGTAGAAAGATATCTGATTAGACTGACACCATTGTTAAAATGTAGGTACTTGATAGATGTAACCATAAAAGAACCAATGAAATGCAACTCAATAAGGAAGATTTCTGAAAAGCATTTAACTTTTGCATTTCTTTATCAATATATTTATAAAGATAAATACTGAAAAAATACAGGAAATATGCACACTTACAATGAGAATAAAACAGAATTTTAATTACAATTTGGACAGAGTAAGAAAGAAAAGATAAAAGGAGCAAATGGGCTTCTGATGTAGAAAAAGAAAAATGACTGACTGAAATGTAAGACAGATGCTTATGGGAACAATACAATTATGTGTCCTGAAGTAACATCTTTTTTCAGATTTGTGTTGGCAATGAGGTTGCACCCAAAGAAGTATTAAATGTGAAAAGTCACAATATGACAAAGTATTTAGTTGTCTTTTTCCTACCTTATGTTCAAAAGAGGCCTAGTTTTGTGAACTTGGACATCGCAAATGGGACAATACTTGCTGCTCTCCAAGTAGTGCACAATACAAGTCTTACAGACTGCAAGGTAAAAAACACACAGAATTGTCCAGAAATAAGATTATAAAACAGAATCAAAGCAAGGTCTTCAGCTGTTATTTCTAAACCCAGGGACAAGGATGGCTGGCTGGCTGGCAGCAGGCCCCTTTCCCTGGTGAGAAGCAACCAAGCAGGACTTACAGGAGTGCAGGCACTCGATGATCGTGGTAGCATCAATGAAATACCCTCCGCATATCACACACATGAGATGGGGGTTGAGCTCGGTAATTTTGATGCAGGTGGTGCGATGCATTTTGGCTCAATTCGAGGAAACTCTAAAAGACAAAGAGGAACGTTTTAAGCACCCAGCGGAAAGTGCAGCACGACCCCTTCACTTCCCCGCGGCTAAAAGTGGCCTTCCCCTCAAAGAAAACAGACAATCCGGTTCAGGCAAGAAAAAAGTGGTGAAGAGCCTTAGCGCAAAGAAGCAGGAAGTAAAGGGGGTCTCCTCACCTGCCCGTAGCCCAGCGCAGAGGTGCTCAGAAGAGAGGAAGCCTGGGGCGGGCGGAGGAAGCTCCTCGGGGCACCTCTCCCGGGACAGGCTGCCCTTCCCCCATAGCACTGCCGGAAAATCGCAGGTCGGGGTTGGGGAGGGGGGAAGCGATCCCAGTGCAGACGCGGACGTTGCCCTGGGCATTTCCGGCGAGAAGAGGAAGGGGGTGCGGTGGCTGTGGTTGAAGCGGCAAGGGAGAGGAAGGAAGAAGCTGGCAAGGTTGGATCCCGCATCTCGGAACAAGGGCTGGGAGGCATTTATGAAACTGGTCAGAGGAGGTGGGAGAAGAGGAGGCAGGTCCCCCGGAACTGGCCTCTGCTGCTAGCGCGTCGCAGCTGCCGTCAACACAAAAGGCTCGAAACCGAGCCGTCTTCACAACCGTTCTACCTATCGGGGTTGCTATAGCAACTGACACTTATACTTGGCATCCTGCCACCACCCGGAGGCACCAGGGGGGAGAGGCCAGACTGGGAAGGGGGCCTCAAGGAATATGCGCTCTGGTTTGGAGGCGCGGAAAACAGCCAAGTCCTTTCTGGGACAGATGTTGGTGCCCCCGGGGTAAGGAGCAAGCGGGGGGAGGAAAAGGAGAAGGCCGGGCTCAGGGTATTGCTGTGGAAAAGAACCGGGGTGGGGCCCGTGAGAAGGACCCCGGTCGGGTGCTGCTGATGAGACCAAAGTTCCCCTTCCGAGCAGTGCACTTGGGGGAGGGGGGAACGCGTCGCAAGAACAGAAAGCGAGGACGCCAAAAGCTGGGCTGGCAGTAAGAGGCCTAAAGGGCGACCAGAGCAAGCACTGGGGTCGACGCCAGGCCGAAAGCCAGACGGTCCTCTCAGGCCTTTCGTTTTCTCTCGGGGCCGTCGGCCACGGGCATGAAAGTAGCCGCTGCTTCTCCCTTCTCGGCTCACGTGCGGGATCTGAACTTGACTCTTGGATCGCCAAAGCACAGAGTTAAAAAAAATGTTGGACCTTCTCGGGCTCGTGGACACTTTAGAGGAGCGGCAGCCTTTGCAACAGACCGAGCCCGGATCCAACAGTGTTCTAAGCACACCCACCTCCGGGCCCACGTGGGCATCCCGCTCTGGCAGCCGAAGGTTGCCCGGACATAGGTCCCGGGAGGGCTGCACATCTACCCGCGGCTCTCGGACTACAGCTGGGAAGAGAAGAGAGCAGAGCAAGTATCCAAGGAAATCCTCACCCGAGGCAGCTCGCTTCCGCCCAGCAAAGAAAAAAATTACGGCGGGAGGGAGGTTAAGCTCAGCCGAAAGAACAGGTTCCATTCCCACAGTCGCGAAGCACCCGGTTTAATTCTGAACACACCGCAGTCCAGGCAAAATGCGCTGTCGCTTTCGAAAGAGTCCCGAATTCCTGCCCAGTGTTCCCAAAGATGCGGGTGGGTGGGAGACGCGGCAGGGAGTATAAACGGGATACCTCAAAACAAAGCCAACTACCAAACTTCACTTTTTCTACGAGGTGCCTCTTCCCCGGGTGGAAAAAGAGAAGAAAAAACAGAAGGAAATATGCCACTGCTATATGGAGGGAATTGCTATTTTTATCATCCTTTGGGTGGAAAAGCAAAAGGTATACAAGTCTGGAGTAGAAGGTGAAGGAGAGATTCGATAACCTTGGCCTTAGAGCTGGGTGTTGGCAAGGAAAACAGGAGCCCCCCTCATGCCTCCATGTTCCACAGCGTTCTTCAGAATATGAACAAAGGATATACTTCTCCTTCCCAACCTTTAGTAGACAATTGAAATCCCTCTCATCACCATCATGATAAAACCAGTCTTATTTTGTTCAAACTAAGATGCAGTCAATCCAGGACGCCTTAGCCAAAAAGTAGAATAAGGGGTTAAGCAATTCTGTGGACTTAAATTCTTAGCTAAGCAGTGTGGCAGAGAGGAGTAACTTTTCAGGGAAACAGAGCCTCTGCCTAAGTGGAAGAAATCTCAATTGGTTGAAGCTTGTTATTACCCAGGTTACTCTGCCTCCAGGATCTTGTGGGAGATATCACTGAAATCTTGCATCTTTAACAACCCTGAATTTAAGCTACACACCAGGGAAGGGTGATAGCAACTCCCATGCACATATTTATAAACAAGTGAAAAAGGAATCTCGTTATTTAAAGCGCTAACTGGACCTGGGATGAAGTTGGGACTGTTATTCTCTCTTCAAAGTCACCTATCTCCATACTAATGTTGTACCTTCCTGTAGCCAAGACACACTGACCTTTAACACTAGATATTGTATTTTATTTTCAGCCTCCCTCCCAGACATGTATTCCACAGGGAAAACAGTTATAAAGACTGTTATGACAGCCAGCTGAAGCTTGGAGGCCTAACATGGGTTACCTTAACTTGGAGAACATTATGGGTAGTTGGGTGGATGGATGCTTTAGAAATTAACAGGCACTAGATCCCCTGAAGTGTCATTTCAGCAAGGGTACCTACAATAACTAGTTTTGCAGGGGCAGATATGCAATCTGGTCATATGATTAGATGCTTCAGTTTTAAATTTCTTCCCGAAGCATGAGAGACTCCTTCAAAAAGTGTGGATACATCTACTCCCATTAAAGAAAAAAAAAAGGGTATGTTTTGTATCAACCCACATTCTCTCCAGAGAAACTCCTGCATCCAGTGAATGGACCTCCTGGAACAACCAACAGGTGGCTTCCTGCAAAGACAGGTGGCCATTCCTTTCTAGCTATTAAATATTGAATACATTGGATCAGCACCAACCAACTAGTACTTACAAATGGGTTCTAGTTTACAGTGAACAGGGCAGAGAAATACACAACTACACAAATCAGTCTCCTTACACTTCAGAGTTATATTTTTGGAATGCCAAGAAGGACCAGTTGAAATAGAAAAGCACTAAAGTAGTGGGAGAATAACAGAAACGCTACTGGGGGTGGGCAGAGGAAACTGGCTAACTTTCCATTTGGGGAGAAAGGTTACTTGCAGGGAGAGAAGATTGGATCAGATGCCCCTGACTTACTTCCCACCAGGCATTAAGACAACAAAACAAGCTGAGCTGTAGTGAAGTCTACAGGGTCAAGCCCAAGATATTTTTCATGAACCAAGTTTCCTACCCAAGCACAAGAGTCTGGAGCAAAGCCATCACATCTCAGCTAGTAACAAGATGCTTTAGTTCATTCAACGTGGAACGGTGTGGGGAAGAGGCGAAATCCCGGCTTAAAGAAAGCTGCAGTCGAAGTGCCTGCATGTCCTATTACAAGGCAGTTCCTCCAATTCTCCGACATGTTTACTTATTTAAGAATCAAACACGCGGTAACTTCTCTTCTCAAAGGTACATTTCCAGCATCAAACTCCGCTCTTCTATCCTCCACAGCCGGGAGAAACTTCAGCATTTTAAGCACAAATGAAAAAGGACACGCTAAAAAAAGAACCACCACACAAGTGTTGGCCGAACTTAATAACATTTCTCCGGGGGTCCCCATCGGCTCGGCGAACCTTCTAGCAACATCGCAACCCCCCGCATAACTCACCCCTATAAAATGGGAGCGTTCGGTGGCTTTTGAACCCCCGGCCGACCCGTTTGTTTCGTAAGCAATCGTCTTCCCGTGACCCAGGCAGCTCAAGATTGCACGAAGTGTCCCTCTTCAATCGAAATCTGCCTATAAACAAAGGGGGCTGGGCTCGAATGGCTTGTCTCAGCCGAAAATACAAATAACCTCCTCTGGGGCCGTACGACCGAGGTCAGGGGAAAAGGGAACGAAAATTTGCAAACGTTGGTTGCGGAACTAAGGTAAAAGCAAGTGCCTGGGCTGCTGTTGTTGCAGCCGCCGGTTTCTGGGCGCGCGAGGAGCGAAGTGTGCTTTGTGGCTGAAGCCCGAGACTGTCAGCGATTTTCCCATATGGAGAGTTCGGGGACACCGAAGCTTCCTCTCTCGCAGCCTTCCAACCCTCCGCGAAATCCCCATCGTCCTCCGGCCTCAGCTAGACAGCGCGCCCCTGCACACCTACCCGCGAAAAGACGCTCCCGGGAGACGACCGAAACTGCCGGGAAAAGACAAAGAAAATTAAAAGTTGTTCAGCAGAAAATGAATGTGAGGCAAGCGGCCATCTTGAAACGAACTATAGGGGCTGTCAGTTGCAATCAGAGTATTGCTGCTGCCGCCGCGCAGAGTTCCTTTTAGTTCTCCAGACAGCCAGCCGGCTCTCCTTCGGGCTCACTCCGAGTCTGATTCGCCTCTTCCTTTCGGTGTCCCCTTTTCCCTCTCTTTCCCCACCTCATTCGCTCTTTAAAATGCGTAGCTCCAGTGCTGGGCTCTTAAAATCTTCCCAGCCCGTCTGGACTGCCACTCTTCCACCACCAGCCCATTGTCTCTCCGTGTCCCAAGCTCTCCTTCCGGCTCAGTCTATCGGTTCCCCCCCGCCCCGATCTTGCTTTTTTCCTCTCCTGCCTTCGAGAGAGCTCTTTCTTTCCCCAATTTCCTCTCTGTAAAAATAATATTCTGCAAATATTTGCAATAGGTCAGAGTTGCTGTTGTGGAAGGAGCAAGCGGGGAGGTAGAGTAATGGAGATGCGTGCAGTGAAGGCGCACAGTGGAAACCGGCGCCGTCACCCAAATGGCTCGGCCGCCCCGCCAGCATCACGTGAGACTTCTCATTTCTTAAGGGTGGCCTGGGAATTAGCGTGCGTGTTGTTGGACCCGTCAGCCTCCCTGTGACCTAACCCCGCGACTCAGACGCCCCCCTACGTCCTCGTGCGCCGCCCTCCCCTTCCCTCCGCCTGCTCTTCCGTTTCTCCCCTTCAGACACGCGCGCGCCCTCACACTTTGCTAGTTCTTCGCGGCACTTTGCTGCCTTCTCTCGCTCTTCTTCCCCGCTCGCGCAATCACTCCCCCGCGTACAATACCGTATTCCTTTCCTTGTCCTTTCCAGCTTGCACACCTACTCCGCTCTTTGCACATGGCGCCCATTCCTCCCGATTTTACACGCCGCGTCATCTCAAGCGAGCAATCCCTTTCTTTTTCGCTTAACGAGGACTCAGAGATCTCCCTCTGCCCCGTTCCTTGCCTTTTATTGGCTAAAATCTACCCTTTCACACTAAAACGCTACCCACCCCCTTTTCAAAGCGCAATAAACGGATTGCAACCGCAGACAGACCTTTGGCTTCAGTCTCCACCCCGAGCCTCTAGTACTGAAGCTGCTCTGCTCCTTTCTCTTACTGCCTGCCTCCCCTGCGCGCCTGTTACCCACCATTTTAGCAGTGTTGTCCGCCACCCTAGTTTCCACCTCAGCACCTCTCCCCAGACCTCCTTTGCCCCCAGACCTATGGTTGGCTTCTGCCCTAGCCTAGACTCTAGGATTCTCCCACAACACCAACCCAGATCTAACATTCTTCCTACACGTCCTCCTGGACACATCAGTGTTAGGATACCTCAGAAATCTTAGAAAAGCGGTCCAAATGGTACTATGGAAGTTATAGTTGGAAATGGTAGCTGAAACCAGCAGCCCCGAGCGTCATCTCGGCACTTCTACCTTCACTCCTTTCCGTTAGAGCGGATTTTCCCGCCTTGGCATCCAACCCACTGCTTCCCAGGCACGCTCGACTTCTTCAGCCCCGGTGCACTGCCTTCTGGCCCGGCTCAGCAGGACGCTTCCTCCCCAAGTCATTTACCTAGGGGCCTAGGAGAAGGTGTCCCAGGCCTCCCCCCCCCCCCCCCCCCGAATCACAGTCCTCTCATGTGAAGGGGATTCGTGCTGCTGTGGCAAAGCTAAACTCTCCCCCATGTATCTCCTC